GTGAGAGGGGGCGGGGCTAGTGTCCTCGGGGGAATAGGTCAGCGTGTCACCAAACGAAAAGTACCAAAAAGAGTATACCTTTTTTCGTTGCTTCCGCATGTGTAAGAGAGGGGTAGCCCCACTTTTGAGTCAGAGTCCTCCACGTTTCCTCTTCCTATTGGCTAGACATCTAGGCATGGGACCCACTATAGATTCCAGACCCCAGAATGAAAATGCAGCCTTTTTTTAAAACGACACGTCGGTCGCAGGATGTCAGAGACAAGGACTTGCTGATGGGAACTTGTGGGCTCCACATCGTTTTCCTCTAACTGTGCCGCATCCAATAAGCAACCCCCTTCGGCCTCTGCCCCCTCTGCAGCTCTGCTGCCCTTGTTTCCTTCGCTGCCCTTTTCTACCCTTACACGCTCCAATGTACACTTGCATACATATACGTAAATTTGTATGTATATATATATTTTTATAATACAATCAAAGATATTGCATGAAACTAATTTTTTTTCCTCAAAAAATCTTAAAAATGCATTCCTTAAATCGATTTGATTCATTTAAAATTTTATTTTTAAAATATTTCTCACAAAATTTAAACCATAATTGATAAAATAAAATCTTTTCTTTTTTTTTATTAAATTAATCTTTATGGAGGTACGATTATTTGTTATAATCATGGATATCATTTATCATATAAGTTGAATACGTTTTGTCTATATATTATATATGTATTTATTATTTTTAGGTAATAGAATTTTCATTCCAACGAAAAATGTAGAGGAAATTAGAAATGAAGATTAATGAAATATATTCTTAGATTTTTTTTTTTCCTTTTAAAAGGTTAATGTAATAACAAAATTATGTAAGGGATTCTATTTTGGTGACTTTAAGTTATATGTAGCCTTTTGTCATAAAGATAATTTTTTTTTTTTTTATAGTGATGTAAGATTGAGAAAGCATATTAAAAAGTAGAGTATAATGGTTTTATCATATAAAACTTTACATATAGTTTTAGATATAAGGTTTTTGTAATGAAGTACAAGTCAACTATTTAGCTATGGTTCCAACAATCTCCAAGTGGACTATGGAAGTATTGGGACAGAAATGATCTGTTTCATGTGAACTTCAAATCACCTCAGGTTAATTATAAATAATTCTTTAAAAAAAAATCATAGCTTAAAAATGCTAAGGAAAGATTAAAGTCATATAATCATAATTAACAATCCACTAGTGAGATGCCATCTAGGTATAAAGTATAGACCCCAACAAGGTGGGAAATGTATTATGTGATCAAGCAAGTTGCTTAAGTACTAATTATTAACTATTACTTTAATGCCATGACAATCCTTGACAAATTTGGTTGCTATCCAGCTAAATACAGCCATGCTTTGATTGAACATTTTTTGAGCCTATGTGATCAAATCTTTCTTTCAAGGTCACTAGCTAGTCCCTCGCCTTGATCACCTTCAAGGATTTTGGGTTAAAACGCAAATAATGTAATTAAATTTAAATTTAAATTTAATTAATTTATATAATTATTTTTAAAAAATAATATTTAATAAATTTAAAATTAGAATCTCAATATCTTAAAAGATTACGACAAATATTAATCTAATTCATGATTGAAATTAGTAGGAGAACGCAAGTAACACACAATAAATAGCTAGAGAATAAAAAAATGACTATTGCATGAAAGGTTTACTTGTCAAACGAATAGGGCTCTTACATATATTTGATGATTGAGATGAAATAAGATTAATTAATACTTAATTTTATGTATTAACTAATTACCTTTACAAGGTGAGTTGAAAGGAACAAATCATTGCTGTGGAAACCAAATTGATAAAAGTTGGAATCCATGGAGTTGAAAAATAGACTTGGTTCAGCCAAGAACATGATTTATGATGGGATTTGGGGGGGTCTTAATCACACTTGGACTCAATTTTATTGAACAATCTGGGCCCAGTGTCCAGATGAATAAGACTCCACCTCTTTATTTTAGTTTTGCAACAAATGTTGATATAATTCCAAACCGTCCAATGGAGGCTTGTGAGATTGATAAAGCAAAAATGAGAGACAGAGATTTTAATTTACAATTTACTTTAAGCAAAACAATAAATTAAGCTTAAATGGTCCACATTAATTAGTGGTGCAGCACTTAATGGAAAACAGACCTAAAGCACTCAAATTCATGGGTTTAACCTCTTCTAAGTGATCCCAAGTAAAATTGATTATCCTAATTTTTTGTCCCCAAAATCTTTTTTATTAAGATTAAGGTTCTCTTTGGCAGTATGATGAAAGTTTCTTCTTTATGTCATGATATTGTTTTATGATTAAATCTCTTAAAATCTAATTATAAAACATAATTATAATTTGTGATATATTAAGAGCCTTTTTTATCGTGTTATTTAATTTTTAAATTGTGTGCACATTTTATAATTTAAAAATTCAATCTTAATCACCAAATATATAAATGATTTAAAAAAAAATTATGGGTATAAGAATAACAAACACTCATGCATTATCTTAAATGAATACGACCTTTTCCAATTAAAAATTTGTAGTTTTTTTCATTAATTAAAATATATATAGTTTGGTGTGTCCCCAGCCACAACTCACAATTTGCATTTTCAATCAGCCAAACAAAAGGCAGGATCGAGGTATCTAATTGGGAGGAAATGGAATATCCCAAAGTCTCACTTTCAATTCCTATCTTCATATCCCAAAATTAGCAACAGATTAGGAAAAAAAAAAAAAGGGGGTGGGGGAGGGGCGGGGTCACATCCTTTCAGAAATAAGAGCAAAGTTAAACTTTTAACTTGTTTGGTGGAGAAAAATATTAACAAAAAGTAAAGCTAAGTGGATTATGTGAACAAATCATCAAACACTTGAATGCCCATTATTTTGTTTGTGGAGAGGAAAGCTGTTCTCATTGGAGAAATGAAATCCATGTGGCTTGAAATTCAATATTAATATTTTGGGTTCATAAAGTTGAGAAGTTGGTCCACAAGGATTTCGGTTAATTACCTTTCTCTCTCTCCAACTTAGGTGGGTGATAGTGAGAGCTGTTAAAAGTTCAAACAAAGTTTTTTCAAAGTGGAACCACTCTTTTAAGTTATAGTATTTTGAAAGGATTCATCACACGGTTTAAAAACAGTTGTTAAGTGTTACATTTTGGTGACTAAAGTGGATGCCATTAATGAACAAACAACAAGTTCACATCCAAATCCAATTAATCAATCATCCAAAATGGAACATTTTTTAATTTAAATATGTGCTTAATATTGATTTGATGATGGTAGCGTTGCTTGATTTAAAGCTTAATCGTATATAAAAAATTATGTTCAATTTGCTAATATTTTTGTTATTTTTTTACATTTAATGAGATTATCAAAATTAAAAATCTAACACTCTATTAATAAATTAATGATTATTGGTAAATTTTTAATATTTTATTATTCAACTTCTTATTCTAATACTTGTAATTGGAGACATAAATCTTGATTTCATGGTATTAAAAATGATTTATGAAAAAAAAAACACACACACACACACATTATGTTCCTTTCCCTTTTATCATGACTATATATATATGATCTTATTTTGGTTTAAGGAAGATTCTATGTTTTGTTTTGTTCTCATTAAGTTTCCAAACTTTCATGTTCCCTGGTGTAGGAATTTCTCGTCATTTTGTGCTTTTTTTTTTTTGGGTTCTTTTTCTTTCTTTTATTGTGTGATTGTGGGCATGCATTTGACTTATGGTCTAGAGAGGACAAAGCTTGTGATACCCGAAAAAAGCAATATTCTAAATGTTTACTCATAAATTCCATGCAACTTTTCACAGTTTATGAACCCAAAAAAAAAAAAAAAAATCTTCCACTATATTTTTAGCATGTTCAGAAAAACAACTCAGCATAAATAAAAAAGCCCTAAAAAAAATTTACTATTATTTCTTCTGTCATTTTCCTCAATTTTGTTTAAAAAAATAAAAAAAAGTCATGCATTTAATTAAAAATAGTAATTTAGCCATAGATATCTCACACTAGCCTTATTTTGTTGGATTAAAAATAGTAATGTATATCTAGCTAACTAGCTGTCATTTGTTGTTCCATTTACTATTAAAAACTAAAACCTCCTTTTTTTTTTTTTTGTTGAGTGACTCTAAACTTGCCCAACTATATAAAAAATAAAATTATATATTTTTTTGCAATGATTATAGTGATAATATTTTATACAAAAATTATGGTTTGAAGTTTAAAAATTATTAAAAAATATTAAATTTAAGTTAAATTTTATTAATATTATTTTTAAAAATAATTATATAAATTAATTGAATTAAAATTTGAATTCATGTAAATAGTACAACACAAATTTAATGGTTTTCTTCGTATAGCCGTCTCTTTCTTGTTTATATAGTGGCTAATTTGTGGCCTCGTTTGATTGTGGGGGCGACATGTTTACAAAACAGTATTCAATTTGCCATTGAGTTCAGCTCAATGTCAGCCATGTAATCTTCACTAATGTTTAACGAAAATAATAATAAAAAAATAAGTCTAAATTTTTTAGCCATTTCTTTCTCGAGTTGAGACGGTATTAAATCTTTAGGCCCTTCTGTAGTATAATGGATACTCGTTAGGCCTTGAAGCGGGATCTTGTTCCAGAGGCTGTCATAAAGGGTTGGGCCCTGATTTTTAGTAATTGAGTAGAAACAGATTACAAGAATTAATGCACCTTGGGCTCTCTTTAATGGAAGTTTCGACCTTAGACCTTGGATTATTGTTTCCTTCCACAAGATTTAGTTTTGCACCGAGAGAAGAATCCTATAGCTAGAAATTCATGCAAATCAAACATGAATGATTATAGAATTCAAGCCCAGCTCATCTCAGATAAATTGGTTCATTTAGATATTCTTAAAAGATATCATTCAATAAATCTGAAATTCAAATATTAACAGCTCAAATACTAACAGCTATAGGACTTCCTATTTATGAAAAAAAAAAAAAATCCCTCGTCCTAGAATTGATCTTGATCTTTACGATTGGTTCCTTGATAGGGTAGAAAGCTGAAGCTGGAGCATTAGTTCTGTATTTCTGTTAAGATCGATAGGGAGAACACAAAACTAATCCACGTATTTTTCCTTTGTTTTTGTTCTAAATGTTGATAGTGTTTATACAGACCAACTTCGTAAAATTATACATGAAATCCTAGGCCAAGAAGCAAATATGCACTGGGATATTCTGATGGAACACTTTGGCTATAAGAAAGTCTAAGAACTCCCTACCCACATAAATGGTGTTGAAAAAAAGATCTGGATCAAAAAGACTACATATCTATGACTCTATTAGCTTACAATCTCAGAGAAACAGATCGAGCACAACAACCCTGGCTGCCAGTCAGTTGGTCCATGAAGCAGGCAAGCAAGCAACATCAATTCTAGGAGACAATGAAACTAGCTGTTCCAACTCACTCCTTTTTCGAAACAGCTACCCTTTTCTTAAGTCTCAAGCATTTATTGTTTTTAGTTTCTGTAATACTGGGGTTAGAAGTAAGTTGTTTTGCTGGTTTCGTAATGGAAATCTTCTCCATTGCATTTATGAATTTGCGTAGATGCTTGATGTACTCAGGATAAGTTTCAAGGTTGCAATGGCCGCCACCCTTTACCCATAAAGGATCATACTTTTCCTTAGAAAGTTCCCATAATCGCTTCCCATGAGACCAATCAACAATGTCATCATTTGTACCCTGCAAGCATTGATCAACAAATATGCATCAATAATGCCTGAAATAAACTAAAAAGACCTTAGTTCATATTGCCGCCATCCTACATACTGTCTAGAACCGAACCAGATAGAGATAAAAAATAACAATGAAATAAGGGTCAACTTCTTTTCCTTTCTTGACTATTAAAAATTCTGTAACGATTAAACTCACCAGGAGTCAAAGACACATCTATGGATTATGAATTTCTAGAACATAGATCTAGTTAAAACTTTTCTTATTGATAAATCCAGGAGGATTATACGAACTTGATACAACTTGTTAGATCTTTTCAACACGAAACATATGAAAGTGAAGTATTGAACCATAACTAACAGCGCATATGCTAAACTGTAGCTAAAGAAGGTAACCAAAATAATTATACAGAGGAAAAGATGCTTACATGTATAACTAGAACTGGACAGTTGACCCGCCGTATTTTGTCTATGTTCTGTAAATATTTGGAAAGAGATTCCTCAATACAGACTAAGTTATTTAAAGCTTGCAGCAGAATGGAAGATTACAGGAAGAACAAAATCAAACTTACTTTGAAGATATCAAACCAAAATGTCATCTTGACAGGATACAACACCCGTATGCCTGAAAGGATGGCACTATGAAGAACAACTCCTCTTAGTTTCTGTAAATTAGAAGCCAAGTGGAGAGTTGGTCCACTTCCAACAGATTGCCCGTACACTATCAAATCTTCTTGTTTAACCCCATATTCCTTCTTCAAACAATTGTACACTGCCTCTATGTCATAATATGTGTTGAGCTCAGTTGGCTATTGCAATAGCAGAAAAAGTTAACTTATCAAGTGCAAAGTTAGTCACGCAGGCAAAAAGATGAATAAAGATTTGGGCAAGTAAGTTATTGATCACTTCATTGGTTCCGGACTTCCAGTTATCTTTTTATTTACTAAAAACCTTTTCATAAGAAAATTTCAAGCGATTTAAGAGTTAATCCACCGTGTTGTTGATCCTCAAAACAAAGAGAAATACAAGAAAAAACGAATAAAACAATCTCAAAGATTCCTTTACCTTGCCAGAGGATGCTCCATATCCCGAATAATCATAGCTGCAAAATAAAAAGCAAAAAGTCAATGTAATTACATCACAGCCACATATGACAGATTCTACCATGGGAAACCATTTTAGCTACGATTTGCATGAATAGCTATTCAGCCTTTTACGTTAAAATTCAAAAGAAAATTGGAAAGCAAAGTAGAACTATTATGAACATCACCAACAATCAAAATTTCAAGATTCATTTTCCTTTTTCTTTTGGGGGGAAAATGGCAGATATCTACGAATAAGAACAAATTAATGAAGCTGAAGCCATTAAATGGAAGCTGTTTCAAAAAGAAGGCTAAATTATGAGAGCTCAGCTGAAACTATTAAATGATAAAGGCTTGTGTTCAAAGTTCAAACATTAATAAAATTACAAATTAATCATATTTCTTTTTAACTTTTTCTCTTCAATTAGTTTCGGACGCTCTAATTCCAGGGAGGAAGAAACAGAAAAGTTATAGCCGGCCGACCTGAAATTGAAGCAAGCAATGATGGGCAGCACATCCGAAATTGGTTTTCGTTCATAATAATTAAAGTTGACAAAAAGCATGGTTCCCAAATATGCAAAGACAAAAAGGAAAACAAATTGAAAAAAAACTAAAAACGAAGATCCATACGACAAACACATGTTCCTCCAACGGAAAATATCATAAATCATCTGACAAATCATACGGACAGAACAAATTAGTACAAAACATATACAGAAACAAGAAACAACAACAGAACTACCGAACTCAGAATACATTAAACTTTGAAAAAAAAAAAAAAAGAAATCAACAACAAAACAAATATATATTTTTTAAAAATAGCCCTTTTTGGAGAAAATTTAACCATTACATCATTATCAAAATCCAAGAAAAAGATGAAAACCAATCTCCCAAATCAATAAGACAAATAAAGGAAAGGTACCTCATAATATTGACGCGTAGGTGGGCTCTGAGCTCAATGAAGAGTTCATGCATCTGGCCTAAGTCAGCGGCATTGCCATGAGAATACAAGAGGGTAAACCTGGCAAAAGGGTGTTTCCAAAAGGTAGCTACGATCTTATTACCACCTTTGGTATCAAGCAAATGAACATCCATGTTCTTGTCAGCCGTGACCCCTGGCAAAACCAGCTTCCCATTTTCTTCCCTGTAAACATCATACGTTGGTGGGTCTGGTGGAAAAAACGCAAACTTTGCAGCCACACTCGACGTTACATTCCCCATTTACAACACACCACCAAAGAGAAGAAAAAGCCCAGTTTTTTTTTTTTTTTTCAGATATGAAACTGGACAACACATGCAATGAACATATGGGCAGGGATTTTTTTTTTTTTTTTTATGTTTGGCTTAAAGGGTGTTGTTTTTGTTATGTTCCCTTGAGTTTTGCTTTGAATTTTTGGCAAAATTTCTGTTTGTTGGGGAGTGGTTTTTGGGTTTTTGTGATTGGTGGATTGGGTTTCGTTTATTATTTGGTTTCACTGGGGATGATGAAAAGTCAAAAATCCAAAGGTGAAAAATCAAAGGGAATGGAACAGAACGACAGTTGGATCCGATCTAAGCGGGTGAGCTGGTACCGTCGCTGGAGAGGAACAGAGGCCTAGAAATATTGCTAGCTAATAAGCTTTTCTTCTCTTGTTTTTATTGCTTTCAGGGCGCTTAGAAACAATGGCTGTCTTCAATCGTCATGATGATCTGGCCTCTATTTTTCGTTATCTGATTGACGACACCTAGTTTTGGTATTTTCCAAAATGTCCAACTTACCCTTTAATAATCATATACTACTATGTCACATATACAAAAGAAAAAAACAAAATCTCAAATAATGATCAAATAAACACTTTCTTTTTCCATCAAAATATATCTTAAAATGTAAAATCTCTCAAACATTTTATCTTGATTTAAAGAAATAAAAGATTTAATCCTTATATAGTAGATTGTGCATAGATTTTATCCTTATTTTAAGCATTTAGTCAAAAAAATAATATATTTGATTTAAAAAATTAGAATTATTCAAGATTTCAACTTTTTTTAGAGAAATTCAAGATTTCAATTTAAATCAAATAAAATAGTATCAAGTTTCATGTACCGAAAAAAAATTATATCTAACTTTATAAACTCCTAGTCAAATTTTGATTATAATTATCAATTTTTAATAATACTAAAAAAATTTGCTCAAGCAAGCTTGTAGACTTTGAATTTTACAAATCATGGTCAAAAAGAAGTGTTTTTGACTTTTATGTCCTTAGGTTGAATGTTCTCTTTATCCAAAACATTGGGTGGTTCCTAATATCCAGTGCCCCTTAAAATATACTCCTATAAATTACTCAAAATTAGCATAAATGGATGGATTAGATTTTAAAGAGAAAAAGGCCATGATAAAGATGGACGGCCGAGATTTGGTCAAAGGCAGGTGGGATCTTTTGGAAGGGGCGAAGATAACAGAAAGTTGTCAGAATCAGACATTCCCTTCTTTGCTTTGCTCAGTTCAGCCTATGTTTTTGTAACAAATGTCTTTCTGGCTTCAACTTTGACCATTTTTACCACAACTTTCTATTTTGCTTTCACTTTTTACTGTGATCATCTCCAAATTTTACCATTACAAGGGAAATGATAGATCAATTTTACCTTTTCCTCCCTTAATTTGTCTGCCTAAAATCTTATTAGTAGGGATGGTAGCCTAATTTGAGTTTAACTTAGCGTTGATTTGATTCAATTTCATAAGATCAAATTTTTTTTTAAAAGAATTAAATTTTGAGACAAGTAAGATATTATTAAAAAAAATCGAAATTAGGTCGGATTTAAGTTTTAAATAGACTCAATTTGATATTATATTAAAAATTATTTTTTAATATTTATTTATATATTTTAAAAAATAATATTTTATTAATTTTAGATTGAATATGATTTATATAATATCAAATTGAATTCGAATATAAAAAATTTTAAAAAATTAAGATCGAATTGGGTTTGGGACGAGCAAAACCCCGTCCCATCCCTACCTCGACTTATTGTTAACCCTACTTATTATACAATAAAAGAGAAATCTTCATTATTTTCCTTCTCTCTTTTATTTATTTATTTATTTATTTATCTATCTTTTTTTACATCAAAATTAAAAAAAGATATATTGTAAATTCATTGTCTAAAAAAACAAGTGTGCCTAACTAGTTTTAATGAATAGTTGTGCTTTGTACTAATTTTCATACATTAAAAGATTTCTACTAACATGGACATTCCCAATTTTATGTATCATTAATATGCAAAGCAAACAAAATTTTAGGGTTTTTTCTTTTTTATAAATGTTTAACATTATTTTACTCATTTGAGATCATATATTTGTTTAACAATTTCTGGTTTCAGTTGCCAGGCTTCAAAATTGGGCAGGAGCAGGCAATGTTAATCTGATTTTGATTCTAATAATTTATAAAGGCTTTAAAATCACTAACGAGAGCCACAGTTCCATGCAGAAGCCAATACTACTTTGACTAAAATGTAGTTGTTATCAGAACATTTATTGATTATGGTAGTAATTTTCAATCTCTATTGTTGCATTTTTTAATAATATTTTTGGACTGTCTCAAGATTCGTTTGAATTTAATATTTTTTTAAATGCTTATAAAACACATTCTTTTTATTTTAATTTTTAAAATTTTATTTTCGAAACGCATCGAATTATAATTAAATTTTAATCATTAAAATTAAAAATTTAATACTTTAAATTGATTACAAAAATTTAACTCAATTATTGAGTTTTTAATTATTTATAGTTTGAAGTAATAGTAAGATTGCCAAGTGAAATCACGAGAGGGTATGAAATAATTAGGTTTGTGCTAAATTAAATGTTAGCAGGACAGTAAGTTAAATGCATTTGGATTGGTGGGTTACCCTCCCTCAATAATGATAGTATTAGAGTGAGTTTTTCTTCTCTACAGTTCCTCCACCGGAAAACCCCTGGTAGGGTAAGTGGGGGGATAAGCTTCGGTCCAAAGGAAGAGACTGAGTCAAAAAAGGCCCATAGAATGCTTGGGAGTGGTGCACTAAACATAAAGAGAAAAAGGAGACAGGTCTTAAAGATGACTAAAGACATAAAGATTGGTTACGAAAATATGTTACGGTATGCAACTTGAAAAGAGAACTGTTTAAAAGGTGTCTAACAAAAAGAAAAAGAATCCCACAAATTATATTTTAATATATTTAAGATCAGTTGTTATGCTATTATTCCCTTTATTCTTGATCATGATTGAAGAAATCTAGGCAATGGATCATCACTTTCATGTGCACAATACCTTTTTCATTTGCAAATACAATTGATTAATTGATAAATTTGTCCATTTTGGCCATGATTAACTAATAGATTAAGATAAAAGAAATACCAGAAAAAAGGTTCAATTGTTTCATTAAATGAAGATGAAATGGTGAGCATATCAAATCAGAAACAAATTGGTCAACCTTTGCCGCCCTACTTCCCTTTTGACTTATCCCTTCATCTTTTTTCCTTTTTTACTGTTCTTTTTGGGTACTCACATTAGATCAGGAAGCAAGAGGTGAGTTTCCCTGATTAGACCAAAGCCATTGGCCATAATAAAGCTACTGGGTTCATGTTACAATACCTGAACTATGCGCCTAAAATGTAAAAGCATGAATGAATCGGAATATTAATGAAACAGTCGGAAAGTTGGAACATGAGGGGCCCCATTTTCTCTTTCCCAAGAATAGAATTCTTGAGGGGAGCATGAGCAAAATGATCCGAAGTCAACAGTACCCTGCAAAGCTAAACCAGCCAGGGGAACCGGGGTTGAACAACGGCCCTGGACCTGTCCCTGCTTCAAGTTGTGCATAAGAAAAACTACATCCTTCAGTTTAGTATACTATTTTTAAACATAAAAACCAAGGTTCTCCATTTCATAGTAACAATTGTTTAGAGAGTTTATGGAACAGCCATACGTTTGCTACATAATGATGTGTAGTACGCAAGATTCAAGAGTGTCTTTAGCAGACAAATTCTGTTCTTGGTCTCATAAGAGTATAAGGACGTCTCAAACTGAACTCCAATCAGAGAGAAGATTGCCCGTTAGATTTAAATAGTATGTACTCCTCTTCTAATGTTGTTTCATTTCCAACAACGGAAACCCAACTTTCTGAAATTTTATCCACATGTCCATTTAATATCTCAACTAAAGTGAAGGCTCTCTTTGTGCCATTAGAATTGGATGCCTGCAGTGAGGTCTCAGTATCTACGGAGCATCTGTACGCTGTTTGTTCATTTATGGGTCTTTTAACCCTGGGAACTATGGCTCCATTCAGGTATATAATGTCGTCAGTCCCAACTACAATCATTTTCCGAAGACCATTCCCATATGCCAACTCTTTATGCATGTGACCAAACACGACAAGTGGAATAGAGAATGTAGTAGTCTCTTTTAAGTGGGAGATGGCTTGCGCTAGATCTGTACCAGAAGATATTTTTGTTAGCATGACAAAATGAGGCCACTAATCTATCTCAGCACAGACAAATATATTGCATGAGGAAGGACATTAATATATTAGTTCTGACGCTCCTATATCTGGTCATCAGTTTCATATTATTCCACCAATCTTATCAAGCACAATACAGAGTGAAATAACAACATAATTTTAAGGAACGGTAGAACATTGTAATGGAAGGAGCCAAATCCTGATAAATTACCTAGATCACCATGATCACCACCTCCAAACACCCAATCTTTTCCACAAATGTCATTCAATTCACTGCCAAGACCTGCAAAAAATAACGCCTGATACTTTGTAAGAAAAACAATTTGTCTAAACAAAGGTTGAATTGGCAAGCCCATACACCTGTGGGTCCATTATGCGCAAGAAGTATAACTAGATGATCTTCTGGGGTCCCAAGTGCAGCATCATAGATTCTCTTGGCACTTCCATCCATATCTTGAACTCCATACCTAGACACACTCCAATTTCGTAAATAGCAATATTCAAAAAAATGGTAAGACAAGCGCAAGACTCTACAATTAACAATCCCATTAGCACTGCCTACTTAATTTGAAAGCTCATTAGATTACAGAATAATTTAAATCAAATAAAGTCAATTTAAGTGTTTTGCAAAATTAACAGACAAGCCAAACAAGATTTACCAATGAAAGGAAATTGTAAATGAAGGTTCAAATACAACCTAGCAAAAACGTGAATCATTAGGGAGAAAGGGTCATAGGACTCAAACATACAAAACAAGAACAGCATAAAAGGTCAAACAAACGGATAGTCAATTAGTGAATGCTGCCATTATGCAATACTACCTGGTAGACAGAAGCCTTTTCCGAAATATTTGTTGACCCCCACATGAAAATGGTCTTCCACCGACAACACTGAGCTTTAGTAAAGGAAAGTCCAGACGTTTATAACCTACATGATCCTGTCCAAGACTATAGCATGAAAGTAATGTTATTGCCAACTGATGCCCTACGAACTCTGCAACTTACAAATGATAACAACTTGCCAAAAGGCCATACGATTCTCCTCTGATATGCTGATGTATACCATTAACTGTGTCTTTAGTCAAAGTCCTTATATCCACATGTTCTCTTTTTTATTTAACTTTTGGTAACAGAATATCATTATTACTGAGAATTATGTTGAGCCCTGAAACAAATTTACCTGACTAATCCAAGCCTCAAATTTTCGTAGTTAGCATCTAACATGGAAAAAGAGATGGAATAGAAAAAAAACTACAGAAGAATGCTTCACAAAATTCCTTTTTATGGGTCAGCAAAGCTCACCATTCTAGCTGAAGTTGAACTCGATCCTTCTTCCTAACCACAAAAAGATGAGCTGGATTAGAAATCATTAGATTGTCTGATGCATAGCTAGGTATTGTAGACATGCAAAAGAACCACAACATCCAAATCCAAACACACCCAACTGGCATATTAGTGAATCCATTGGCCATGAGTAACTTACTTAGAAGAAAACTGTTGAGTGCTCCAAGAATCATGATTTCCCAAAATAACTGCTTTTGGAAAGTTGAGAGCAGCAACATTTTGAACTAGTTCGACATTCTCATTACCAAAATCACCTGAATAAAGCAAAAGCAGGTGAAAGAAGAAAAAGGGCAAAGGCAAAAGACGTACGGGGTTAGATTTGGGGGGAAATGAATCTAACAAGTTGGTTTGTGTAAAGCTAGAGCTAGAAATTGGCTGCATGATGTTGGCACATAAACTACAGTTATCTAATTTCTTTTAAATGAATGGATTATTCTAGAGTGCATGGGACATGTCTGGCAGTGTCAAGTGGCAATAGATTCTAGCCCTGACATGATCCCAATACTCGTCTCCTTTCTACTTGACTCACTAGTTAAAGCCAGCAAAAATTAGAGGGAATACACCACAAACAAATATTCGTAGCACACATAGGGTGGATAGACACTGAGAAATGAGAAACCTGCCTGTGAAGAGCACCAAATCCGGCTGCATTTTTACAAAACCTCTTATCAGATATGTATCCAAGATCTATATGCAAACTCTCAAACTTCAAAAAAAGTGCAATGCCAAAACAGCCAACAAAAAACCAAATTTTAATTAGTGGCAAATCGTCAACAAGCAATCAAATCCATGAAAATGTTACATCATTAGCCCCCCATCTGCCTACCCAAAAAAGAAACCCAAGTTGTACACTTTTAAGCGAATCCCCAAAACTATTATGCTGAGTTAATTAGAAGAACCCAATTTGATTATGGCTACTAGCAAATTATAGTATAGGATTTTGTTATGATTCTTTCCATTTTTCACATTAAAGCAGAAGCTTTTTTTTTATTTTTTTATTTCTCTCTCAAAATCCAAACTTTTGTTTAAACTTTAGCATTTATAATTTTTTTTAAATATGAAATATAAATTACCTTCATAAGTTGAAGAGCCTTTGTATCTTCTCCGAGGTCCCAATCATCGTGCTTCAACAAAAACCCAAATAAAAAAAATCGAATGGAAAATTTTCAATATCTATGATTAAATAATGAAAAGGAAATCCAAGAGAGAGAAAGAGGTGAACTTACAACGTCTCCGACGACAGCGATTCGAACAAGAGAAGATGAAGCCATGGAAGGGCGACAAAGGCGGGGGTTTGGCTGAGGGAAAGAGGAAAGAAAACTGAGAGTATGCGCGTGGATTAACGCGCTTAGCATTTGTTTTACGATAGTTTCCCGCTTAATGGTTGATAAGCTGACAAAGTAAAATTAAAAAGTCAACCCTTTATTGTTGATCAAGTAAGGAGGCCTTGTGGCCGTCCGATTCCCACAATTGGTTTTACTTAATCTAAAATGTATCTCATTTTGATTTGTTGAAAATTTTTAATTCTTTCAATACGTTTAACTATTTTTTATAAATGAATTATTTTATTTATTCATAGATAGAAAGAAACTATTTCTTTTGTTTGGTTTTATTTTTTTATATGGATTAATTGTACTTGATGATTGTTGTATATACACCTGTAATTTTGTAAAAAAAAAAGATATTTTTTATAAAAAACCATCTTAAAAATAAAAATAAAAATATTCAAATTCAAATTCAAATTTTATATTCTTTTCTTTATCAAAAGCAAATAATTTTGCCAAATTAAAAGATTTTTACTGTCAAATCAACTGTTCTATTTGCTTGTTTATGTAATTAATTACTTTGACCAATTAATTTTTGTGACTAATTTTCTATGGCTGTTTTTTTTTGACTGAAAACGCACATGTTGTAGCCGGTTCTTCCATGAATGCTTTTACACCCAAGCGATCTTTTTGCAATAATTGTCTTTGAATCTCTATTCTCCGATATTATCTTGTTTAATTACTTGAACACATTACATACGTAAGTGATCATTTCTAAAAGGTTTGGCCAGATTTTTTATCTTCACAGTCAAATGCCAGAAAAATGGATATGCATTGAAGAAATTGAATGAGCTTTCCAGAATTTGATAGTGTTTTAATTTTAATCAATTCATTCAATTTTCAAACATGAAACATCACCCCTGTATCTATATACATTTGGTGCTCCAAGCTAATTGTTATTCCAGGCAAGGTGCATCCGTTACTTTCAATGGCTGCAAAACTTCTTGGCTTCCTGTTTTTCAGCTTCCATTTTCTGCTTCAACTTCACTTATCTACCGGTCAAAATGTTGTTAGAGCTGCTTATTGGTCCGCAGGAAGTGAATTTCCTGTTTCGGACATAGATTCTAAGCTTTTCACTCACCTTTTTTGTGCATTTGCTGATCTTGATTCTCAAACAAACCAAGTCGCGGTTTCTTCTGCAAACCAGGCCCGTTTCTCCGCCTTCACAGAAACTGTCCGACAAAAAAATCCTTCCATCGAAACACTCTTGTCAATTGGTGGGGGAAGTTCAGAGGCGTCAGCTTTTGCTTCCATGGCAAGCCAAGCTAGTACCAGGAAATCATTCATTGATTCCTCCATAAGTTTAGCAAGATCTTATGGCTTCCATGGCCTTGACCTTGATTGGGAGCACCCATCCACAGTTACCGAAATGAACAACTTGGGTTTGCTTCTCAATGAGTGGAAAGCTGCTGTGGATAACGAATCCACTAGCTCTGGTAACACAAGATTGCTTCTATCTGCAGCACTTTTCCGCAACTCAGATTATTTTACTCTGAAATATCCAATCCAGGTGATAGAAAATAGCTTGGATTGGATCAATGTGATGGCATATGATTTTTACGGTCCTAGATGGTCCAATGTAACCGGTCCTCCTGCAGCATTATACAATCCTGGAACTCGAGTCAGTGGGGATTATGGGATCAGAACATGGATACAAGCAGGGATTCCATCGAATAAACTAGTACTCGGATTGCCCTTTTACGGCTATGCCTGGCAGCTTGTAGATGCAAATAACCATGGATTTTTTGCACCTACAAATGGACCAGCTATATCAGCAGATGGAGACTTGGGTTACGGTCAGATCAAGAATTTTATTTCCCAGAACAGCGCCACAGAAGTTTACAATGCAACAGTAGTTTCGAATTATTGCTACTCTGGCAGGACATGGATTGGTTATGACGATACGGAAAGCATTACAGCCAAGGTTTCATATGCTAAAGAAAATGGTTTGCTTGGTTACTTCGCATGGCATGTTGGTGCAGATGACGATTGGACTCTTTCACAAGCAGGTCAGTAAACGACTAATTTTAATCAGACCTGGCTAATATTTTGTGAAGCCATATCCACACTTTGAAGGTGACTAATCCCCCACCTACTGGGGGTGCATGGGCTACCCTGATCATTGAGACCAAGCTTTAAATTGAAAGGATCTGTTTATATTTTTTGATTTCATGTTTTGTTGGATGAATTATTTTCAGTTTAATGTTTCGTAATTAGTCCTAATCCTAACGATCCTCTTCTTTGTTTTTATGTGTCAGCATCGCAAACATGGGGATCATAGACACTAATGGCCTGTCCATGGAGTAAATTAGTGACAGATTTATACGAGTTTATGAATAAGATGATCCTTCTACTGATTTATGTCATTTGGAATGATGCTGCCCCCAAATAAGAATGATGTTAAATATTTCCAATTGCTAATAAAATATATATAGTATAATAGACAAAGCTTGAATAAACTAGTTCCTGATTAATATATCTAATGCAATTTTATCCTATTGACTATTGTATTTTGAATGGTGAGTCTTAACAAATAAACTTACTAGCTTTTAAAGGTGTATATATATATATATATATATATATATATTAACATGTTAAATGAAGCTAATTTCCACCTCTTGTAATATCTCTATTATTCAAATATTCAACCTTGATAAATTTAGTGCCAGGGAAAAAGTTACAAGAAATGGTCTTTGGTTTAAAAAATCCTATGGATAATTAGAGACGGTTGAAGATGTAGAAGCACGGTACATAAATTTTCCTCAGGTAGTATCACATAAATTTAACAAAATTTTAAAATACTTGATCAAAGTTATTATCATAGCCAATTTCTATTGTCTTTCTCACAAAAGAATTGTTATTAAATAAAAAATTAAAAGCTAAGTTCAAGATTTAACATTTAGATCAAATCTTAATTAAAAATATAATATTTAATTTGATTAAAATAAGGATAAAACATTTAAAATATTGCGTAAATAAAATTTTTTTTTACCAGGAATGGATTATATTCGTTGTTTAATAGTGTGAAATATTAAAATATTTTGCTGATCTGACCTATTTTGTGTTTTATCTTATGATTTTTTATTAATCGAAAGTTATTTTTTGTTGACTTTGTTAAATTAGGTCATCCAAAAAATGAAAATTAAAAAAATAGATTTTCGAAAATTATTTTTATGATTATCAAATGAGCCGAATTGAATTAAATTAAAATTAATATTTTTAATTAAAAAAAAGTCCAAATTCTAGTCCTTGAACATTTAGACTAAACAAAATGGCTGATTATTCAACCAGTTTACTTATCTCAGACGCGAAAATTAAAATGTATGTGTCATATGTGGTGTACATTTGTCTTTGTACTTCTCTGTGATTTGTCAACAAATTTTACTTTTAATAGACCTAAATTCTAGTAGAAATCATCCCCCCTGCAAGTTTCCTCCATGGCACCTAAGTTTATCATAGTTTTTCTTCATTTTTTTCTCTCTTTAGTATTGCATCCGTCATTAGCACAAACCTGGATGCAAGCTGGTTACTGGTCTTCAGGTAGTGAATTCCCCATTTCTGATATAAAGTCTGCTCTCTTTACTCACCTTATTTGCGCCTTTGCAAACCTGAATTCCTCCTCCTATCAGCTCCCTATTTCGTCTGATGGTGAGCTAAACTTCTTCGTTTTCACTAACACTGTCAAACAGAAAAACCCATCAATAACCACGCTTCTATCCGTAGGGGGTGAAAGTGCAAACCGTTCGATCATAGTTTCAATGGTAAGCAATTCCTACCACAGGAAATCTTGCATTGATTCCTCAATAAAAACAGCTAGGCTTTATGGTTTCCAGGGCTTAGACTTTTGCTGGGTTTCAGCCAACACCAATTCTGATATGAGCAATATGGCTCTTCTCTTTGAAGAATGGCGAGCTGCAATTGATTCAGAGGCGAGAAATTCTAGCCAGTCTGAGTTGATATTGACTGCAACAGTTCCATACTCGCGGTATTCACAGTCCTTAACTTATCCAGTAGATTCATTGAAGAGAAACTTGAATTGGTTACATGTTGTGGCTTATGCCTTCTATAGTCAAAGGTGGGAGAACTTTACAAGGGCTCATGCAACTCTGTATGACCCAGCCAGTAATTTTAATACAGATTTTGGTGTCTTCATGGATTAATGGAGGATTACCAGCCACTAAGTTGGTTTTGGGCTTGCCTTTCTATGGCTATTCATGGACACTTGTGGACCCCAAGGATAACACTATTGGCGCACCAGCATCAGGACCAGCTAAGTCCGAAGATGGGGTTTGGTTGTTCAAGGACATCAGGAATTACATCCAAAGAAATGGAGCCAATTCAGTGTATAATGGTACTTATGTAGTGAATTACTGCACTGTTGGAAAGACCTGGAATGGTTTTGATGATGTTGAGGTTGTCAAAATTAAAGTTTCCTATGCCAAGGAAAAGAAGGTGCTGGGTTACTTTGTTTGGCAAGTTCCCTTTGATGACAACTGGATGCTTTCCCAAGCTGGTATGAAACGGATGCTTCACTCTTTCCAACTGATAAAATTTTCTTCTGCATAATTATTAAGAATTCCATGTCTTGATAAGAAAGAAAAATAGTATTGTTGAGCAGGGCATATACAAGAAATATATCCAAAAAGTTAGCGAAAAAGTCTGGACAATGGATTAGTCCTTTTCATAGGTTTTCCTTTAGGATTTCTGGGGTCATTTTTTCTTTAATTCTTTGGCACATAGAAAATATTTGAATGGATGGGCTCACTAAGTACAAAAAAATGAGTGAATTAAGAAAGATACAATCTAAAGAAGCCAGGACATAAACATCTTACAAATGACAATGTTTCAAAGAATCTTCTTGATGTACCTTCTATATTTTTTTTATCAGCATCTGCTTCTGCCAACGCTGATAATCCACAAAAGAAAGGGCGGTTATTACTGATTAATATTTTGATTCCAATTGTTGTGCTCTTGCTTTTGGTTGGCGCGTTGGCATACTACTTGTTAAGGGTAAAGAGAAAGAGAGAAGGTAAAACTTTCGAGTTGGAACTTATCAGCATCATTGCCTAGGGAAATTTCATTTAATAGACACTTTTTTCTCATTTTTAGATCCCATTTGAAATGCAATTAACCAAAAGATTTTTAATCATACTCTGTTTTGCTTGGTTGATAGAGATGTGCACGTAGCTAAAAATTCCCAGTCCAAAGCAAATCAGATAACAGCTGCTGTAGATTTTAATAGCAATGTTCCTAATCTGATGGTCTATCGTTTCTCTGATATTGAGGAGGCTACTGATAGGTTCTCATTTGAAAATAAGCTGGGAGAGGGTGGATATGGTCTTGTTTACAAGGTAATGCGATACACTAATTATCTAGCTAATTGGTGTAAAGTTTTGGAATTCATATTTCATTTTGCCAGGACACTACCTATATGAATCGAGACATGGGTCACTAACAATAATTGCTCATTTAATTATTAGGGTGTATTATCAGATGGACAAGAAATAGCAGTAAAAAAACTCTCAAGGACATCTGCACAAGGATTTGAGGAGTTTAAAAATGAGGTTATGCTCACAGCAAAACTACAGCATGTAAATCTTGTTCAAGTTTCGGGATTCTGCGTTGATAGAGAAGAACATATGCTGGTCTATGAATATATGCCAAACAAGAGTTTGGACTACTACCTTTATGGTTGGCAGTTAACCTATCTTACGTCCTATGACAATACATAAGCATTTTTTGTTGATGATTAGCATCGAAATCTATGTGATATTTGTTTTTCCTATTGTGTTTTGTTTATTTATTTTGGTTCAGAATGATTGTTTGTTTCATTGACTGTTCATAATCCACTGAGATGCGTTGTAGACCCCATAAAACGATTCATGTTGGATTGGAGAAAGCGTGTCGATATCATTGAAGGGGTTACTCAAGAGCTTCTATATCTTCAAAAATACTCCAGATTGACAATTGTTCATAGAGACTTGAAAGCTAGCAACATTTTATTAGATGAAGACATGAAACCTAAGATATCAGATTTTGGGATGGCTAGAATTTTCGCCAAAGATGGAGTTGAAGCAAACACAAACCGAATCGTAGGCACATAGTAAGTGCATTATTCAAATCAAAGCTATTAATTTCATCCAATCATAAACTAGTGCTAAACACTATTAGCCAATTTGTTGCGGTGGTTATGTTCCTCCTGAATATGTTAAGAAGGGTCTATACTCCATCAAATCGGTTGTGTATAGTTTCGGAGTCCTACTTCTTCAAATCATAAGTGGAAAGAGGAATGCACATTCATACGGGCTCCATGAAAATTTAAGACTTCTCGATTTCGTAAGTTTCATTGCTAACATATCTCAACACCCTTTCTGTTATATTGTGAAATTATTGGATTTTTCATTTAAATGAATCTCGGGCATATGAGCTATGGAGAGAGGGCAAAGGCATGGAATTTGTGGATCCCTCACTGGATGACAGAAGTACATCCTATAAGTTATTGAGATGCATGCAAATAGCTCTATTGTGTGTCCAGGAAACCGCAAATGACAGGCCTACCATTTTGGAAGTCTCTTCAATGCTTACAAATGAAACTACACCAGTGGCCACTCCGAAGAGTCCTGCTTTCTCAACTAAAAGCAATGAAGATGATGAGCAAAAGAAATCTCACTTGCAGGAAGAAATATGTTCCATTGATAATTCACCAATTACAGAAGTGGTCGTTCGATGACATAGGTCACTAAAAAAATTGTTCTAAAAAAGTTTGTAATTTTTAAAACCAATAATATTATTATTTTTCACATCATATTTATATGGGATAATTAAGAAAATAGATAAAATATTGTATTTGATAAAAATAATTGACGTAAAAAATTTTAAATTATAATTAATTTTAAAAATATAGAATATAAAATTTAATTTGATGATGTGGTTGCATCTTTTAATGGGATAAACATTTCATTGCGCCGATAGCTCATATTGCTCACAAACCTCTAATTAGAAATATGTAAATGTATAATATATATGTTAGGGTTCATCGTACTCATCGTGTTGTGTGTATCAAGGGGCATTAAAGGGAAAAAAAAAAGGTGCGGCTTGCATCCTGGCCCTTGTCTACAAAGTCTTTAAGGCACCTCTGACTTGAGGGTTGAGGCTCGGTTAGTCAACTGCGGCCCATGGCAGCCGTTTAAGTCTATGAGTCGTGGGTCGTTTCCACTCGGGCCTAAAGCATTAAACTGGTTCTGTGCACTCCCAGACTACGCTAACTCAATTCCGCTCAGGTCAAAATCAAATAAAAAAGTCAAAGAACTTTGCTATTGGATTATTGACTTGTATTTCAGACTTTTAAGGTTGGAAAACCGAATGCAAACATAAAAACACTCTGAAAGAAACACAACAAACACGTACGTAAGGAAGGGAGACTTCTCTACCTAACCCAACTCCAAAAACGTCTACCCAGAGGTTTATAACTCTTTAATTTTGATTGAGTTTCCACATGCTGCGAGGACCCGTTACTCGAATGGAAGAAAGAAAATAGGAACTATAAATTGCATAACATGAGAGTTCAAAGAAGATTTTTTGTGATATAACTAGTTTTTATTTGACAGTGGGCAGATTACCCAACTGGTGGCACCTGTCCTATGGAATGCATAACTATCCCTATCTAAAGTTTTTTTTCTGTATTAAAAGCTCTCTTTGTCTGCTAAAATTTAACTTCGTAACTCTTAAATCAGAGATTGGAAGACATTAATGAAAGTCTTTTTGAACACTTTGATTTTTCTTCAACACTCAAAAGACATGTTCCGTGAAATTGCCATAAAAAATCTTCAGTACATAACGTATATTGTCGGCCAACGGCAGTCGAAAAGAATTTAATTTTTCTTACGTAATCTACATGTAGTCAACAGACGCGTGCATCTTGCTTAACAAATTACAAAATCGTGTACTTTCTACTTTCTTGGCAAGACCCTGCTTCTTTCAATGGCCTCTAAGCCCATCTTCCTCCTTCTCCCCCTCCTGTTTCTCTCGTTCAAACTGCAACGCTCAAGCTCACAAACATGGATCAAAGCTGGTTACTGGGACTCTTCTACTAACCTTCCTATTTCTGGTATAAATTCTGCTCTTTTCACTCATCTTTTTTGCGCTTTTGCTTTTATAAATTCTACTTCCTACCAGCTTCAAATCAACTCCTCAAATGAACAACCCTTCTCTAACTTCACCAACATTCTAAAACTAAAAAATCCATCGATTACTACACTTTTATCCATTTTGGTTGGAAAAAGTGAGTCGACAAACTTTTCTTTGATGATTAATCAAACTTCCAATAGAAAATCTTTCATTGAATCTTCCGTAAAAACAGCCAGGCTTTATGGCTTTCATGGCCTGGACCTTTGTGGGGTTGTGCCTAAAAATAGCACCAACATGACCAGTTTGGGAGCTTTTTTGGATGAGTGGCGAGCTGAGGTAGCTTCTGAGTCAAGAAACTCTGGTAAGACACAGTTGCTGTTAACTATGTCGGCTCAAAGCATGCCAATTGTCAACTCAGTGAGTTATCCTATTGATTCTACAAAGAAAAACCTGGATTGGGTAAATATTATAGCATATGACTACTATGTGCCAACAGTTGACAGCTTTACTGGTGTTCATGCAGCTTTATATGGGCCGTTGAGCAGGACTAACACTGATGATGTTATAAAGGAATGGTTACAGAGAGGATTTTCCGCTGACAAGCTAGTTTTAGGTTTGCCTTACCATGGCTTTGCATGGACACTTGTTAAATCCGGTGACAATGACATTGGTTCACGAGCTTCAGGGCCGGCTTTCACAATTGATGGTTCAATGGGCTTTAAGTCAATCAAATCATTCATTCAAAATTACGGTTATGGCGTTGAATCTGTGTATAATTCTACTTATGTGGTCAATTTTTGCAAAATTGGATCGATTTGGATCAATTTTGATGATGTGGAAGCCATTAAAGCTAAGGTTTCTTATGCAAAGGCGAAGGGGCTACTCGGTTACAGTGCCTTTCAACTATCCAATGACGATAATTGGGTGCTTTCTAAAGCTGGTAAGATGGTTATCTCCCTTTAATTTTGTGGGTTCTCTAGTCTTTTCTGTTTCATATTTAAACCTTTTTTGAAAACAGGACTTGTAATAATCAAAATTGTTAAAAATATTGACTCAAATCTTATAAAAAATTTGTTTAAGATTTATTAGATATTGCTTGATGGACAAGAAGACTTGCAAAAGAAAAATTTTAAAAGAAAGGGGATTTTTAATAAGTAAGTTTAACTTGCAAGAATAATTTTAAAAGGAAAAGAATTTTTAATAGACAAGTTTGATTTACATGAAAAGAATTTTAAGAGGAGAGGGATTTTTAATAGGCAAATTTGTATGATTATAAATAAATGAAGTCTCTATAAGATTAGGTATGAGAAAAAGATGTAAGAGAGTTGTAGAGTTTTGTGGGATAGACACTCCATAAGAGTATTGTGGTTCTATGTCTTATGGGTGTATACGTTTGTTTGTGAGTGGACTAGAGGAGACGGAGAGGGTCTACATAGGTATGATGTATGAGAACATATGGATATGTGTTTGGTTATGTTGAAAAGGTACACAAGGATTTGAGTTTGTGTTTGTTTGGGTTGAAAATATTTTATAAGATTAGAGGAGATGAATCATTACCCTGATGATATAACATACTTCTAACTCACATAATGAGGCGAGAAGAATAGCTATAGAATTGAATAACCGTACAGGCATTTTTTGCGCATTGCATACGGCTTTACAATTGCATACGGCTTTACAATGGAATTCTCTTTTTTCTTTCATCGAAAAAAAGAGAAAATATAGAGTCTATTAGACCCAGATTAATAAATAATCCAATTACCATCCTTCTTTTTCTTTTTTTTTTCGGAAAAGTTTAAAAATAGTGAGGTTGATGATTTAATGTGAGTTTGTAATTCTCTATAACTAGTGGATGTTATTTTTCATTCATGGATGTAGGTCAATTGGACCGAATCACGTTAAATTATTTTCTCTTGTGTGTTTAATTTATTATTTGATTTCGTTTCCGTTGTTGTGATTGAATTAGAGACTTTTAACCTAACAAAAATCATTTCCTATTTGAAAGATATTTGAGCTTAAACCAGTTTCTTTTACTCAAATTCCAACTAAGAGAGATACAATTCCACACCAAAAAAGAATCATACAGCTGACACCAAATTAATAAAAATATGTGGAAATGGAACATCATACCCTTTCATTTTTCTTTCTAATTGTTTATTCAACTCCTTGACAAGACTCAATTTTTAAACATTGGCTTGAAAAAAATCTGTATATTAACATCATTTTACCCCAGTTGTTATATTCTGACTTTTGGGGCTTTCTCATGTAGTGAGCTTTTTCTTTTTTTACTTCCACACAGAAAAAAGCTATTGACTTGGGCCTTTCAATGTTCACAGCTTATGGAATAGGCACCAGTCACCGGACAAAGCATCAATTATTGGTTATTGTTCTGGTTATAATTGCAGCAGCGATTCTCCTGATGTGGACTATCATTTGTTACCTGCAAACAAAAATATTCAAGTCGCAAGGTAACTTATTGGACATTTTGAGAATTTGCAATGATTAGAGGCGATAATCATAAATTAATTCCACAAGGTCTTGGCTGCAGGGGTTTGGGTACTGTGAAAAAATCATTATCCTGGATAATAACCAAAATATCAGCTGAGGAAGAGCATGATGATGGTGCTCCTAATCTCCAAGTTTTCAGTTTTACTAGCATTAAAGCAGCCACAAATAACTTTTCGAATGAGAATAAGCTGGGGGAGGGTGGATATGGACCTGTCTACAAGGTAATGCTATATATTAGTCTATTTTCTTATACAAAATCTGAACATGGGTATTGGAAAAGTATCTTCATCTCTAATATTGTTATGTTAGACATGAAATTGAGATGACCAGGCAGATTCAGCCGTGGTTGAGGATTTGCTGCATTCTGCTTACCAGCAAGAGATTCTGAAAATCGAAGGACATCCAAAACAATGAAACTAGTCTTTTATTATTTACAAAATAATTTTTAATCAAACATTTGATTGGTTTTAAAGCCACAAACAGGCACAGTGTTATTAAAATGTACTACCAACTATACTAATGTGGACTATGACAGGGTAAGTTACCGAAGGGGCAGGAAATAGCAGTGAAGAGGCTTTCCAAAACCTCTAATCAAGGGCTTGAGGAATTCAAAAATGAGGTCACACTTACAGCACAGCTTCAACATGTGAATCTAGTTCGAGTTGTTGGAATTTGTACCGAGAGAGAAGAAAAAATGCTGATATATGAGTTCATGCCAAACAAAAGCTTGGATTTCTACCTCTATGGTAAGCAATACTTAATTTATTCTACCTAGTATGATTGTTAAGTACATTTCTATGGCATGTTATTCCATATTAATGTTTGGATTAACTTATCCTAAAGCAAAATATACTATAATTGTTCATAAATTTAATTGATGCAGATCTTATTAAAAAGCATCTCTTAGATTGGAGAAGACGAGTTTTAATAATTGAAGGTGTTACTCAAGGGCTTCTATATTTACAAGAATACTCAAATTTCACAATAATTCATCGTGACATAAAGGCTAGCAACATTTTATTAGATGATAATATGAACCCAAAAATATCAGATTTTGGTATGGCAAGATTTTTCAAAAAGGATGAACTTGAAGCAAACACCAGCAGAATTGTTGGGACGTAGTAAGTGAACCAGGTGCTTTCAAATGATACATATCATCTTATTATTTTTATTAATTAATTCACTACATGCAGTGGCTATGTTCCTCCTGAATATGTTAAGAAAGGAATATACTCTATGAAGTATGTGTTTATAGTTTTGGAGTTCTACTCCTGCAAATTATAAGTGGGAAGAGAAATTCCAGTCTCTATGGCTGCAATGAAAACTTGAATCTTCTTGAATATGTAAGTTATTTTGTCACACCCACTTTTTCGTCTTTGTAGTTCAAATACGCTAAAAATGTACAACATTGAACAATTTCAGGCGTACGAATTGTGGAAACAAGGTCGAGGGGCAGAGTTTTTTGATGCATCACTAGATGATTCATCTTCGTCTTGTAAGCTCATTAGATGCATGCAAGTAGGACTGCTATGCGTGCAGGAAAACCCTGCAGATAGACCATCCATGGTGGAAGTTTTTAGACTCCTAAAGAATGAAACTACTACAGCAATCTTTACCCCTAAGCAGCCCGCATTTTCAGTTACAAGAGATGAAAAGGAGGAAAGTAAAGACAGTGGCAAGAAGAAAGTTTTTTCAGTCAATGATGCAACGATAACCCAAGTGGTACCTCGATGATTGACAGTATAGGCATGCATTTGGGAAACATAATGTAGAAGAATTATGGTTTACCAATCTTTTAATCATGCAAACGTGTAAAGATATTAATGAATCTATGACTTTCTTGGAAAATTGGATGGCTTGGAGGGATCGATTGAATTGCAAGGAAAGAAATTGAATAACAGCATGGCTAATTAATTATTTGGATGCATAAAACTAGTGTTTATATATATTTGGTTATGGCAAACACTTTCAAATTAATGTTAAAAAGTGTACTGTATACTAAATTCTTTCTGTTTTAAGCTACAGGGTATAAAACCCAGACCACGTAAAAGTTGCAACCAAATTTTGTATATTCAAGCCTTATAAAATCATGAACTATCTTTATATTCATCTTGCAGCTCATTGTTGCCCCCAACTCATCAAGCTCAGCCCACGCCCAATCTATCCAGAATAATAACTCAAATTTTATAAGAGATTTATTTAGAATTGATAAGATATTATTTGATGGACAAAAAACTTACAAAAGAAGAATTCTAAGAGAAAAAATTTTTTAATAGTCAAGTTTGACTCACAGAAAAAAAAATTTTAAGAAGAAAGTGATTTTTAATAGACAAATTTGTATAGTTATACATAGGTGAAGTCTTTTTAAGATTATATATGAGAAAAAAATGCAAAAGAGTTGTAAGATTTTATGAGATAAACATCATATAAGACTATTTAAGATTTACGTTTTATAGGTGTGTATGTTTGAATATTTGTGTGTGAACTAGAAGAGATTTTTCACATAAGTATGGTGCATGAGAGCAGATTAGAGGAGACGGGAAGGGTCTATATAGGTATGACGTATAAATGCATGTGGATATATGTTTGGTTGTATTGAAAGGGTGCACATAGGTATATGCTTGTTTGGATTGAGAATACTCTATAGAACTAGAGAAGATTGAGATGATCTATAGATATTGATTGTTGAGTGGTTGATACGTTTTGATGTATATTTATAATTCTTTATAATTAGTGAACTTATTTCTCATTTGTAGATATAAGTTGATTGGACCGAACCACGTTAAATTGTGTCTCTTATGTGTTTAATTAATTGTTTGATTATGTTTCCATTGGTTTGATTAGGTTGAGACTTTTTTTTGCCTAACAAGTGGTATTATAACTATGGTGATCTCTAATAAGTAGTATTAGAGCTAAAGGTTCAAGATGTAGGAAAAGCTTAAAGTTTAAGACTTTGAAAGAGTTGAAGGTTCAAGACATGAGAAGAGCTAGCAGGTTGAGTCATGAGAAGAGATAAGTTTAGAGGAGCTCAATTTAAGAGAAGAATTCGATTTTAAGTTTTGAGAATTGAGGATTAATTTATGTGAAGCGTGAAAATAAAAAAGAGAAGATAATTATAAGACTTTCATTATTGGTGGAGCTAAGTATATCTAGCATGAAATAGATGATTTGATAAAATTTGAGTTAAGGTGGAGATTATTAGGAATAATGACTCAAATCCCATAAAAGTTTTGTTTGGGATTGGTCAGATATTGCTTGATGGATAAAAAAAACTTGCAGAAGAAGAATTTAAAGAGAAAAAAAATTTTTAATAAGCAAGTTTGACTTGCAAAAGAATAATTCTAAAAGGAAATGGATTTTTAATATATAAATGAAGTTTTTATAGGGTTAGGTATGAGAAACAGATGTAATAGAGTTATAGGATTTTATGAGATAGATACCACCTAAGTCTATTTAAGATTTACGTCTTATAGATATGAACGTTTGAATGTTTGTAAGTAGATTAAAGGAGATTGAGAAGGTGTACATAAGTATGGTGCATGGGAGTGAACTAGAGGAGATTGAAAGTGTCCACATAAGTATGATGTATGGGTACATATGGGTATGTATTTGGTTGTATTGAAATGATACACATGAACATGTGCTTGTTTGTGTTAAGAATACTCCATAGGATTAGAGGAGATTGAGAGGGTCTATGGGTATTGATTGTTGAGTGATTGATACATTTTGATATATGTTTGTAATTTTTCACAACTAGTGAATCTTGTTTCTTATCCGTGGATGTAGATTAATTAGACCGAACCATGTTAAATTATTATCTCTTGTGTGTTTGATTAATTATTTTATTATGCTTTCGTTCGCTTGATTGGGTTAGGATTTTTTTGCTCAACAAATGGTATTATAACTACGGTGATCTCTAACACAACCCAAGTCAAGCAAAATTTTTCCTAATTTTAGCATATAAAGTGCAAACAATTGTTACATGAAAGCTTTTAGGATATTGAAAAATCAAAGGGTAACCCGTAACCATCATATTGAAGTTTTGAAAATTATATGTAACTGCATTGGCAAATCATTAAAAAATATTTCGGAAGTCGATTTGGTTGATCCACTTGTCCCAAGCTTCACTCTCGCATTCACGTCCCTCCACAAGCAAACGCTAGTGCTAGACAAACACAAAAAGGCCATCGTATAAAGTTCAAACACACCATGAATATTAAAATGTTGTCTTGAACAGTTACCCAATACTCTCATTTTTAACCTTAATTCCAATCAGATTGGACAACCCCTAATTCATTTTCAAATCAAATTTTCATTTAGATATGGCAGGCTTTCTATAGAGTTGACGCCCACCCACCCTTGTATGAAGAGCATTGCTACATTTCTGATAGCAGTAGCTAGTAGTATTAGTAGTGGCTGCTTCTATTTTAAATTCCCTAGATCATCTAAAGACTAAAAATTGTGTGTCACGGATAAACACAACAATCCAAAACTATAGACAAAAGAATTGTTCAAAAATTTCTTCTGACTATTAGTTATCTAGCCAGATGGTTGCTATATGTACTTGCCTTGACACTCTTGCTCGAAATCATTTATGACAAGCCCTCTAGCAACGATGGAAGGTTTCACTACATATTTTCAGCTCTCTTCTATTCTTATTGTTTTCTTAACCATGCTTACAAGATCTGTTGTCATGGCGTCGCCACCGTCTGTCAAAGCAACTTATTGGCCTTCGTGGACGACAACTTTCCCACCATCCGCCACAGGTACATCCTTGTTTACTCATATTTACTATGCTTTTCTTATGCCAAGCAACGTCACCTATAAATTTGAAATCTCAAGTCCAACAGCACTTCTCCTGTCAAATTTTACTGCCACCCTCCACCACAAGAATCCGCCGGCAAAAACTTTTTTCTCTATTGGTGGCGGAGGTGCTGATCCTCTTGTTTTTTCCCGCATGGCTTCAGAGAGAAAGTCACCTAAAGCTTTTATAACTTCAGCTATCGAGGTTTGCATGAAAATTTGGTTTTGATGGGATGGACCTTGTCTGGGAATTCCCTAAAAGCCCAAAAGACATGCAAGATTTGGGCCTTTTATTTATGGAATGGCAGCGAGCTATCAACTATGAGGCTAAGCCCACCCACCTAACGCCTCTACTTCTCACGGCGGCTGTTTACTTCTCAGTCGACTGTTTCTTCGATGAAGTCTACCGCAAATTCCCGGTAAGCTATATTAATCAAAATTTGGATTGGGTTAGTGCAATGTGCTTGGATTTACTTGGTGGATGGGATACTTCGAAGTCAGGAGCCCATGCAGCACTTTATGACCCAAACAGTAATGTGGCACGAGCTATGGGCGTAGGTCATGGATCAAAGCTGGGGCTCCTAGGAGCAAGTTGGTAACGGGGCTGCCACTTTATGGAGGACTCGGCTGCTAAAGGACCGAAATTTTCATGAGATTGGATCGGCTGCAGTAGCTGTAGGCCCAGGAGACCATGGGGTGCTGACATTTGTCCAGGTAGAGAAGTTCAACAAGAAGAATGGTGCCAAGGTAAAACATGACATGGATGCTATTTCAACATATGCTTATGTTGGTTCAACCTGGGTTGGGTATGATGATGCAATATCAGCAACGTTGAAGATTGGGTTTGCTCAGGCCCTTGGAATTCTTATTTGAGTAATTTGGAAAATGTTTTGATCATTAAGGCTCCGGTTACGGAAATGAGCTTCTAGAAAAAAAAATTTATTTTCAATGAAATTAATTTTCAGAAAAGAAATTAGTTTTCTCAATTTGGTAAACTTTTTGAAGTTATTTTCCCATGGTATTTCAATGAAAAATACCCAAAAATTTGTAATTTCGTCATGTCCAAAATTTCTTAATCCAGATTCAAGCTAATCAAATGTTAAATTTCATATATATATATATATATATATTGTTTTGGAAGCGGCGGAAAACCACCCATATTTTGGAAGAACTCGTCCACTCCTTTGGTTTTGGTTCAGGGTTGGTAACTTGACGGGTCTACTTAACGAAAATTGATGTTGTTTAGTAACTTCCTTAACTTGATAGCTTGCTTTTAGATAGCTTCCATAATAGAATATTGTTGCAAAGGGAAAAGCCCCAATGAAATAGAGTAAGAGAGTTTGTTTATTTAGAAATCACAATGAAATAGATATATATTCATATCTGGATTTATTTAATATTTATAATATTTAAATTCGTTTAAATAAGTATTATCCGTTTAAATATCTAAATTTATTAAAATATTTTTTTATTTAACATTTTTGTTAAAATATAAAATAAAATTTTAATTTAAAATTTAAATTAACTCTTAATTAATAATAAATAAAAATTATTTTTTAAGGTCCAAAACTTTTTACAAATAATCAAGTATAGAATTTTATATATTTTACATATATAAAAGAATAATTGATTCAGATATTTATTACTATTTATTAAAATTTAAACAAATTTATATATTAGATATTAAGAGATATTATCTATATCTATTTAAATATATCATGAAAAATAAATAGTCAAATTCATTAATTATTTATTTATAATTATCAAAATCCGACATAAATGAATAAAATAATAAATATCTATTCATTTACTATCTATGGTCACGCCCTTATTTACTTGCTTTTTTGTGTTTGGTTTTATGAGCTAATTGCTTTCAGGTAACATAAAGAGAGAGAAATCAAATGAAAAACGAAGAATAACATAAAGGGAAAGGAAGGTAAAAAAAATGAATTTGTTACTTTCGGTAATTCAAAGGAGACAGTTGCTAAAAAAGGGGAAAGAAGTTAACGGTTGACTGCTTGCTGGGTTTGGGTTGGGGTGTCGAGTTCATGACGGCTTGCAGTTGTTGGGTTCGAGTGTTGATGTGTTTTGTAAATTGTCTTTCGCCCAAGAGAAACGGAAGACAATTTTTGTGTTTTATCTTATGATTTTTTATTAATCGAAAGGTTTTTTTTGTTGCCTTTGTTAAATTAAGTCATCCAAAAAATTAAAATTAAAAAAATAAATTTGAGAAAATTATTTTTATGATTATCAAACGAAACCTAATTGAATTAAATTAAAATTGATATTTTTAATTGAAAAAATGTCCAAATTTTAGTTCTTGAACATTTAGACTAAATAAAATGGCTGACTATTCAACCAGTTAACTTATCTCAGACGTGAAAATTAAAGTGCACGTGTCATGTGGGGTGTACATTTGTCTTTATGCTTCTCTGTATTTTGTCAACAAACTTTACTTTTAATAGATCTAAATTCTAGTAGAAATCATCACCCCTGCAAGTTTCCTCCATGGCACATAAGTTTATCATAGTTTTTCTCCATATTTTTCTCTCTATAGTATTGCATCCGTCAATAGCACAAACCTGGATGCAAGCTGGTTACTGGTATTCAGGTAGTGAATTCTCCATTTCTGATATAAATTCTGCTCTCTTTACTCACCTTATTTGCGCCTTTGCAAACTTGAATTCCTCCTCCTATCAGCTCTCTATTTCGTATTCTGATGAGCAATACTTCTCCGTTTTCACTAACACTGTCAAACAGAAAAACCCATCAATAACCACGCTTCTATCCATAGGGGGTGGAAGTGCAAACCATTCGATCATACTTTCAATGGTAAGCAATTCCTCCCACAGGAAATCTTTCATTGATTCCTCAATAAAAACAGCTAGGCTATATGGTTTCCAGGGCTTAGACTTTAGCTGGGTTTCAGCCAACACCAGCTCTGATATGAGCAATATGGCTATTCTCTTTGAAGAATGGCGAGCTGCAATTGATTCAGAGGAGAGAAATTCTAGCCAGTCTGAGTTGATATTGACTGCAGCAGTTCCGTACTCGCGGTATTCACAGTCCTCAACTTATCCAGTTGAGGCATTGAAGAGAAACTTGAATTGGTTACATGTTATGGCTTATGACTTCTATAGTCCAACGTGGGAGAACTTTACAAGGGCTCATGCAGCTCTGTATGACCCAGCCAGTAATTTTAATACAGATTTTGGTATAGAGTCATGGATTAATGGAGGATTACCAGCCAGTAAGTTGGTTTTGGGCTTCCCTTTCTATGGCTATGCATGGACACTTGTGGACCCCAAGGATAACATCATTGGCGCACCAGCATCAGGACCAGCTATTTCAGAAGATGGGGATTTGATGTACAAGGACATCAGGAATTACATTCAAAGATATGGAGCCAATTCAGTGTATAATGGTACTTATGTAGTGAATTACTGCACTGTTGGAGCGACTTGGATTGGTTTTGATGATGTTGAGGTTGTCAAAATTAAAGTTTCCTATGCCAAGGAAAAGAAGTTGCTGGGTTACTTTGTTTGGCAAGTTTCCCATGATGACAACTGGATGCTTTCGCAAGCTGGTATGAAACGGATGCTTCACTCTTTCCAACCAATAAAATTTTCTTCTGCATAAGTATTAAGAATTCTATGTCTTGATAAGAAAGGAAAATAATATTGTTGAGCAGGGCATATACTAGAAATTTATCCAAAAAGTTAGCGAAAAAGTCTGGACAATGGATTAGTCCTTTCATAGGTTTTCCTTGAGATTTAGGATTTCTTAGGTCATTGTTTCTTTAATTCTTTGGCATATGAATGGGTGGGCTCACCAAGCCAGCATGATAAGGATAAAAAAATGAGTGAATTAAGAAAGATATAATCTAAAGAAGCCAAGACATAAACATCTTACAAATGACAATGTTTTCAAAGAATATTCTTGATATACCTTCTATATTTTTTTTGTCAGCATCTGGTTCTGCCAATGGTGATAATCCACAAAAGAAAGGGCGGTTAGTGCTGATTAGTATTTTGATTCCAATTGTTGTGCTCTTGCTTTTGGTTGGCGCGTTGGCATACTACTTGTTAAGGGTAAAGAGAAAGAGGAAAGGTAAATCTTTTGAGTTGGAACTTATCAGCATCATTGCCTAGGGAAATTTCATTTTATTGACACTTTTTTCTCATTTTTAGATCCCATTTCAAATGCAATTAACCAAAAGCTTTTTCATCATAGTCTTTTTTGTTTGGTTGATAGAGATGGTGCACGTATCTAAATATTCCAAGTCCAAAGCAAATCAGATGACAGCTGCTGTAGATTTTAATAGCAATGTTCCTAATCTGGTGGTCTATAGTTTCTCTGATATCGAGGTGGCTACTGATAGGTTCTCACGTGAAAATAAGCTGGGAGAGGGTGGATATGGTCCTGTTTACAAGGTAATGCGCTACACTAATTATCTAGCTAATTGGTGTAAAGTTTGGAATTCATATTGCATTTTGCCAGGACACTACCTATATGGGTCGAGACATGGGGCACTAACAATAATTGCTCATTTAATTGTTAGGGTGTATTATCAGATGGACAAGAAATAGCAGTAAAAAAACTCTCAAGGACATCTGCACAAGGATTTGAGGAGTTTAAAAATGAGGTTATGCTAACAGCAAAACTACAGCATGTAAATCTTGTTCAAGTTTTGGGATTCTGCGTTGATAGAGAAGAACATATGCTGGTCTATGAATATATGCCAAACAAGAGTTTGGACTACTACCTTTATGGTTGGCAGTTAACCTATCTTGCGTCCTATGACAATACATAAGCATTTTTTTGTTGATGATTAGCATTGAAATCTATGTGATCTTTGTTTTTTCTTTTGTTTATTTATTTTGGTTCAGAATGATTGTTTGTTTCATTGACTGCTCATAATCCACTGAGATGCATTGCAGACCCCATAAAACGATTCATGTTGGATTGGAAAAAGCGTGTCGATATCATTGAAGGGGTTACTCAAGGGCTTCTATATCTTCAAGAATACTCCAGATTGACAATTATTCACAGAGACATGAAAGCTAGCAACATTTTATTAGATGAAAACATGAAACCTAAGATATCAGATTTTGGCATGGCTAGAATTTTCACCAAAGATGGAGTTGAAGCAAACACAAACAGAATCGTGGGCACATAGTAAGTGCATTATTCAAATCATAGCTATTAATTTCATCTAATCATAAACTAGTGCTAAGCACTATTAGCCAATTTGTTGCAGTGGTTATGTTCCTCCTGAATATGTTAAGAACGGTTTATACTCCATCAAATCGGATGTGTATAGTTTTGGAGTCCTACTTCTTCAAATCATAAGTGGAAAGAGGAATGCACATTCATACGGGCTCCATGAAAATTTAAGTCTTCTCGATTTCGTAAGTTTCATTGCTAACATATCTCAACACCCTTTCTATTATATTGTGAAATTATTGGATTTTTCATTTAAATTAATCTCAGGCATATGAGCTATGGAGAGAGGGCAAAGGCATGGAATTTGTGGATCCCTCACTGGATGACACAAGTACATCCTATAAGTTATTGAGATGCATGCAAATAGCTCTATTGTGTGTGCAGGAAAGCGCAAATGACAGGCCTACCATGTTGGAAGTCTATTCAATGCTTACAAATGAAACTACACCAGTGGCCACTCCGAAGAGACCTGCTTTCTCAACTAAAAGCAATGAAGGTGTTGAGCAAAAAAATTCTCACTTGCAGCGAGAAATATATTCCATCGATAATTCACCGATTACAGAAATGGTCGTTCGTTGACACAGGTCACACTACAAGAAAATTGAAGATTAGTGACAATTTTGTAACAGTATTTCACTTACAAACGTCGCTAGCTTTTATGTTTTTATAAAACTTAAGTCATTTATTATCAAAACGACACTAAATATTCAAATAGTAGCGTTTCTACTTATAAACTCTACTAAAGACTTGATATTAACGACGTTTATGGACTAAAACGACTTGAATAATACTATTTTAAAATTTTGAATGAATACTAAAGACGTTTTTGACAGACAACGTCTTGAATAATTTTTTCATAAAAAAAAATATACGATTATTGAAGGTTTTTTATACAAAAGACACCTTTAATAATTTCATGAAAAAATTTCACAAGATTATTGAAGGCGTTTTTCTTCAAAAACGTTTTCAATAAATATTCTATCAAAATTTAAGGATCATACAGTTGTTAACCATAGAGTGATAGGTTTGATCCCTCCTTTTAACCTTTTTTTGGTTTTTGAATGGATTATTTGTAATTAATTATTCTAGGCGTTTTCTAGGCAAAAACGCCTTCACAAATCGTTTTAAAAAATTTTGGAAAGGGAATATTGAAGTCAGTTTTGACAGAAAAACGCCTTTAATAATCCATAAAAATAATATGAAACAGATTCTTGAAAGCGTTTTTGATCAAAAACGTCTTTAATAATCTAATCAATAAATTTTCATGAGCAATTAATGAAGGTAATTTTAGTCAAAAACGCTTTTAATAATTCATACAGAAAAGTTTGAGCGGATTCTTGAAAGCGTTTTTGGCGTAAAACACCTTTAATAATCCACACAATAAATTTTTAAGTTGGATTATTAAAGGCGATTTTGGTCAAAAACGCCTTCAATAACATTTTGTTAAAGATTATTCAAGGCGTTTTCTTGCTAAAAACGCCTTCAGTAATCTCATCAAAAAAACTTTGGTTTAATTATATATGTGAAGTCAGTTGTAGGTTTATACTCATAAAACATTTGAAGTCAGTTATAGGTTTATATCCAAAAAATATTTGGTTTATATATGTGATACTACGAATTACATTTTGAAATTTATATTATGAACATTGTTGTGTTTCAATAAATTGACCACACATCTAAATTTAAAATTGATAACGTTGTCATATTAATATATTTTTCTCAAATAATCGTACTCAATATATGTTTATTCATATAAAACAATATATAGCAATAATATTAAATCAATACCCCAATCTACAAACTTAAATTATCCATTCAACATGCCATGTTAAATACATTATAATAAATGATCTTCATATATTTACATTCAACCAGCAATGTCCAACCTTAAGGTTTATCAATAAATGATAATATATACTCACATCATTCTTTACAGACTTCATCAAATTCTTTTACCGTGAAGCTTTCTTTACTCTCCCACTAAAAAAAAAATCAAAAGTAAATGTTAATAAATGAGAACATAATTTAGCTTTTTATTTTTTTGAAGATATAATAACTTTATAAAATTTATACTAACCTTGAATGGTGTGATCATAAAATCATATAAAACTATCTTCCGTATAAAATGAAGGACATAATATCCACATTCAGTATTTTCAGGTTAACGAAATACCTGAAAATTAAATTGAGTGGGTTTAACAAATATTTATCAACACAATCTCAACATAAAAGAATAAATTTCATATTTACCGATAATGACATCCATTTTTTCTTTGCCTTCTTATTGAATGCATATATTACCCTAAATTGAAAAGAAAAAATTTACTTAATACATAAATAAAATTGCTTATGAAGAAATAGAAGATATATAATATAATAACATGTAATACCTCTTTATAAAAGTTTAAATTTGGAGTTAGGCATCGCCGTTGGATTAGCTGAATTAAGTAAGTATGGCGTTAAGAATTTGGTGTCAATCACAATAAGCACCCAATTACGACTACAAAATAATAAGAATGATATACTCAAATTAGGTATCATATCAAAATTGGATAAGGTTGAAATAATTATTTGTATGAATATAACTTATTGTGCATTATACGAGAGCAAATAATAATCAGCTGATTTTTTCATGCATTCAATCACATGAGTAGCATGAAAAGTGACATGTCACTTTGCTCAATAATGAAGTTGGGGTCAATGAATCTAAATTTATGGGTCAACTGTCTCGCATTGAACTCTCTATATAGAAAGTTACGCGATAACAATCAATAATACTAGTTAGTATTACATCATAATATAGATTAATACATATTAAGTATGCATATTTGTGTTTATAAGCTAACCTCATATAAGAAATAATATCAACAGCTGATATTTCATCCAGTTCACAAAATTTTTTAACCTCATCCATATTAATGTAAGAAAATGATGGTTTATCAAATAATCCTTCCTCAGACTCAATGGTTATACAGTTTCCTTTGGATAAATGATTGAGCAAATAATTAGATAACTCATGTATGGTACCCTGAGCAAGGGTTCATACTTTGAGTCTCAACATCCTGCTACAATATATAATGAAATATAAGTATTAAAATTAAATCAATAAATATAATAAATTAATTAATATTAAACTTATTAATAAAATCATACTTCATAGCTGGTAACAGAAGTTGGGTTTCTTACTTGACTTGTAACGGAAGCTTGTCTTACGTGGACGATGCTATTCGATTAGCTTACAGGCATGCGATGCTGCATTGTTGCTAACATAACCTCCAAAGTAATGACTCTTTGCTGTTGGTCATTGATGCGTTGCTCCTAATCATCAAGTCATTGTTATTGTTGCTCAATAATTGCTTCATATTGTGCATTTATCATTCACTAAGTTTTTGGTTGATTACTAAAAAACTTTAATGGCAACACAAATTTACCAATCCCCACAAACTTGACGAGGTATTTCTTTAGCTTTCAATGGTAAAGACAATGGATCTTCGCCATATTGGGTTGCAAGTTCATCGGATTTAACTTTGATAGCATAATTATCCTAAAAAACAATAATAAGATGGGCTGTAATAACAAATCTATATAAGCTAGTATAGAGTCATGCATACAACCACAATGCCAATCATACATGATATTAAACAAGTAGTTATACATACAATCTTTTTAGCCATTTCTTCAGTTACTTCATCTGCAAATGATCCATCATTCATCAAATATCTTTGTTTCCAAATATCCTATCTAGAAACTTTAGTTCTAGAGCTCATTGATTCTTATTAAATTATTATAATATAAGAATCAGAATCTATGAAATGAATGTTCATAAATATTCATTAATAAGTATAAAACAAGTGTGTGAATACTTACAAGCTCATACTTCACATTTGCATATCCCTTTCTTGCTGTCCGATGGTGATATATTTGTTTGGTGCTGTCCGATGGTGATATATTTGTTTGGCCCAAATGTTTCGTTGGTTTTCTTTGATTTTTTACAAAAAAAGAAATTACATCAATCACATATGAAGATGTTGAATATATTGTATAAAATCTTATAAATAATTTTTTTGTTAATGGGTTTACGTACTGAAAAATCTTTTGATAGTCGATCTAGAATAAAATTTATCCAATCTTTAACACTTATTATATATGCATATGACATAGGTGGAATAGCCAATACATTACCTTGATCAGCGAGTTGTAAAATATATTGGGTTGTCAATATGCTTTTAAAGTTTTTGAATGCTTTTTCAGTAGATTGTAACACAATTTTTTTATAATCAATTGGGATGTCAAACCGTTCCTAAATACTTTAACACAATTAGTATGAACACATTAAATTTCAATTAAATGATTATTTAACAAATTTTATAAAATAGTTGAATAAACATACCACAACCGATTGCCATATATCATCTTTTAGATCATCAAGAACTCGTCATCAATTGGTGTACATAATTGAAATGCTACTACGAACTACGGCACCAATATGAATAGCCAACTTGACAACTCTTTCAAACACAGGCTGTCCACTTTGATTGAAGTCAATTTGAATTTTTGTGTCACTCATTTTAATTTATTTATTTCATCTCCTTTCTTTTCTTTTTTGGTCTACAAGTGTGTCTTATGCATGTTCAGTAAAATGATAATTATATTGTTCGGAGTCTATAATACTTACGATTTTAATCATAACTATACGAAATATACTAAAATGACTGTCTAAATTTAACACTATACGTAATTAAATACAATCAAAACCATATTACCTACAGAATCACCATTCAGTAAACCAATCAGCAATGTGTTCAGAAACACCATTCAATAAACCATTTAGAAACACCATTCAAAAAACCATTCAAAAATACCATTTAGCAAACCATTTCGTAAACCATTAAGCAAACCATTCAGCATACCAATATCGTACAATACCATTCAACAAAATAATATCACACAATACCATTCAGTAAACCATAATATTTAAAAATAACTATACATAAATAGCATACATTCAATGACAGGTGCTTGGATGACTATGGTTACGGTGAAATGAATAAAAATATATATGCATTTATAAATAGTAAAGAACTGGAAAAAAATCTCTATCAAATAATATAAATAATATAGTATACAAAAAAATAAAGACATATCGGTAAACAGAAATGTGCGCATCGTTGAGTTGTTGAAGGTCAGTGGTGACGATAAAGATAAAAAAACTAAAAGTCTGATATAAATGTGTTTATGGGTTTGGTTTAATTGATTATTACAGCTTTTAATCATTCTCTGTACTAGCAGTTTGTGATTTCAATATTCAAGACAAGGGAATGAATATAAAAATTATAAGTGAAGGCATTTTTCTGGAAAAAAATACCTTCAATAATTCTCTTAAAATTTTTACTAGGAGATTATTGAAGGCATTTCTTACTAAAAGACACCTTTAATAATCTCAAAAAAAAAAATTCAAAGAAAATTATTAAAGCATTTTTCGTAAAAAAATGTCTTCAATAATTCAGTATAAAAATTATTAAAGGCATTTTTAGTATAAAATCGCCTTGACTAATATTCCCGTGATAAGAATGGAGGGAATTTATTAAAGGCATATTATGCAAAAAATATCATCAATAAATTCCTTGAAAAAATTAGAGCAAATTAGTGAAGGCATTTTTTTTCAAAAAAATACCTTCAATAATCTGATTAAAATTATTGAAGGCGTTTTATACTAAAAGACACGTTTAATTATCCCAAATAATTTTTTAAAGAAAATTAGTAAAGGCATTTTCCTTAAAAAAATACTTTCAATAATTTTGTACAAAAAATATTGAAGGTGCATGATGCTAAAAACACCTCCAATAATTTTGTATTAACAAAATGAGTGAATTATTGAAGGCATA